GCCTGCTGGGCGGGCGGGGGCGTGCTCCCTTCACACACGTGCTTGTGCGGCTTCTCAGACACAGTGTGAAAGCAAATGAGCCAAAAGCAAATGCTTTTTAATGTGAAGACATGAGTGTGTGATGTGTCCGAGCGGTGCGTGGTAAGTATGAGGTGTGAGGCGTGTACGAGGTGTGTGTGGGTGGTTTGTGAGACTGTGCAGTATGTGCGGTTGTAGTGTCTATGGGGGGATGTGTAGCTGTGTGTGTGATATATGTAAAGGCATGTGAGGTGTGTGTGTTTGTGGCATGTTTGCTGTCTGGCATGTGTGTGTGGAACGTCTGTGGCGTGTGTGGGGTGTGTGTGTAAGGTGTATTACAGGGGTCTACGGTGTGTGGGTATTGTGGCTTGTGAGGGGTGGTATGAGTTTGGTCCCTGGTGTGTGCGTGCTGCCCCTTCCTGGATCACAGCCTTGGTGTGGAGAAGGGGTCTGCAGAGCAACCCGGAAGCTTCGGTCCATGAATCAAGGTAGACTGGACGTGGTCAACCAGGAGAGGGAGGAGTGAACACAGACATTCTAGGAAGCAGCCAACTAAGATGGACGGGAATGGGTGGATTTAACTCAGATGACCATTACACCTACTACTGTGGGCAGGAATCCCTTAGACGAAATGGAGTAGCCATCATGGTCAACAAGAGTCCGAAATGCGGTACTTGGATGCAGTCTCAAAAACGACAGAATGATCTCTGTTCATTTCCAAGGCAAACCATTCAGTATCATGGTAATCCAAGTCTACGCCCTGGCCAGTAACGCTGAAGAAGCTGAGGTTGAATGGTTCTATGAAGGATCTTACGAGAACTTCTAGAACTAACACCCCAAAAAAGATGTCCTTTTCATTATAGGGGACTGGAATCCAAAAATAGGAAGTCAAGAGATACCTGGAGTAACAGAGAAGTTTGGCCTTGGAGTGCAAGATGAAGCAGAGCAAAGGCTAACAGAATTCTGCTAAGAAAATGCACTAGTCACATTAAACACATAAGGGACAACTTTACATATGGACATCAGCAAACAGTCAAAACTAAAATCATATTCTTTGTAGTCGAAGGTGGAGAAGCTCTACAAAGTCAGCAAAAACAAGATGGGGAGCTGACTGTGGCTCAGATAACCAGTTCCTCATAGCAAAATTCAGGCTTAAAGAAAGTGGAGAAAACCACGAGGCCAATCAGGTATGACTTAAATCAAATCCCCCATGAAAAGGGGAGGTGACAAATAAATTCGAGGGATTAGATCTAGTTAACAGAGTGCCTGAAGAACTATGGACGGAGGCCCATGGCACTCTACAGGAGGCGACAGACAAAGCCATCCCAGAGAAAAGCAACGAAAGAAGGCGAAGTGGCTGTCTGAAGGGGCTTTACAGGTAGGGGAGGGGAGAGAGGGAAAGGCACACCCGCCAAAACAGAGTTCCAGAGAGCAGCGGGAGAGACAAGGAGACCTCCTTCAAAGAACGATGCAAAAAAATAGAGGGAAACAACAGAAAGGGTGAGACTAGAGACCTCTTCAAGAAAACTGGAACTATCAAGGGAACAATCCATCCAAAGATGGGCACAATAAAGGACAGAAACAGTGAAGACCTAATGGAAGCAGAAGAGATCAAGAAGAGATGAAAAGACTACAAAGAAGAACTGCACAAAAATGATCTCAGTGACCCAGATAACCACAGTGGCGGAGTCTCTCACCCAGGGCCAGACACTGGAGTGTGAAGTCAAGTGGACCTTCGGGAGCGCTGGGGCCAATACAGCTAGTGGAGGTGATGAAATTCCAGCAGAACTATTTAAAATCCTAAAAGACGATGCTATTAAAACACTGCACTCAAAACGTCAGCAATTGGAAAACCCAGCAGTGGCCACTGGGCTGGAAAAATATCAATCTTCATTGCAATTCCCAAGTAGGGCAGTACAAAAGAATGCTCAAACCACCAGACAACTGCACTCATCTCCCATGCTAGTAAGGTTATGCTTAAAATCCTCCAAGTTAGGCTTTAGCATTATGTGAACCAAGAACTTCCAGATGTGTAAGTTGAGTTTTAAAAACTCAGGAGGAACCAGAGATCAAACTGCCAACATTCGCTGGACACAGAGAAAGCAAGGAAATTCCAGAAAACATCTACCTCTGTTTCATCGACTACGCTAAAGCCTTTGACTGTGTGGATCACAACGAACTGTGGAAAAATCTTAAAGAAATGGGACTGTCAAGCCATCTTAACTATTTCCTGAGAAACCTGTATACGGGTCAAGAAGCAACAGTCAGAACCCTGAACAACCTACTGGTTCAGGATTGAGAAAGAAATACGGCTAGGCTGTTTATTGTCACCTGTTTATTTAACTTATACAAAGAGCACATCATGCAAAATGCCAAGCTGATCACAGTCTTGATTATGGAATCAAGATTGCCAGGAGAAATATCAACAACCTCAGACATGCAGATGACACCACTCTAATGGCAGAAAGTGAACAGAACTAAAGAATCTCTTGATAAGGGTGAAAGAGGAGCGTGAAAAAGCAAGCTTAAAACTCAATACTGAAAAAATTAAGATCATGGCATTCAGTCCCATCACTTCACCGCAAACAGAAGGGGAAAGGGTGGGAGCCATGACAGAGTTTCTCTTCTTAGGCTCTAAAGTCACTGCAGACGGTGACGGCAGCCTTGAAACGAGGAGACGATCAAGGCCTTGGATGGAGGGGGACATGGCACCCACTCCAGGGTTCCTGCCTGGGGAAGCCCATGGACAGAGGAGCCTGGTGGGCTGCCGTCTATGGGGCTGCAAAGATTCAGACACGACTGAAGCGGCTTAGCACAGAGGCCTTATACAGGGATACCCTGGGGCTTGGGGAAAGGCAGCATCAGCATCTCAGTTATGGACAGTGTCAGGGTGTTAGTGGGAGAGCTAGGTCATCAGGTAAAAAGCATCAGGGCCTTACAAACACCATCGAGGACTCAGAGGGTAGGGGACTTGATCAGGGCCACGATCAGGGCCCCAGGGAGGAAGGAGTGGAGGCGTAGTGAGAAAGAGTTGAGGCCGACATTCAGGGCCTTAAATACAGACAAGATCAGGGCTTAAGTGAGAAGCAGCTCAAGATATTAGGAGCATCAGGGCCCAAAGTAGGGAGAGCGTCAGGGTCTCAGAAAGAGGACCAGGGCCGTATCACCAAACTCAGGACACCAGCGAGGACCAGTGACAGGACTGGGTCAGGGCAAGCATCTCAGTGTAAGCGCGAGATAAATCAAGAGGGAGTGAGGAACAGACAGCACGAGGATGTTCATTTAACAAAAAAAAAAGTGAGGTCATTAGTTAAAACGACGACAGGCCCCTAGGAAGGGAAAGTTGTAAGTCATTAGGGAGGACCAGAGTCAGACCATAAAGATGGCTGAGCACCGGAGAAGTGATGCTTCTGAACCGTGGTGTGGAGGAGACTCGTGAGAGTGCCTTGGACTGCAAGGAGATCCAACCAGTCCATCCTAAAGGAGACCAGTCCTGGGTGTTCATTGGAAGGACTGATGCTGAAGCTGAAACTGCAATACTTTGGCCACCTGATGCGAAGAGCTGACTCACTGGAAAAGACCCTGGTGCTGGGAGGGATTGGGGGCAGGAGGAGAAGGGGACGACAGAGGATGAGATGGCTGGATGGCATCACCGACTCGAAGGGCATGAACTTGGGCAAGCTCCAGAGTCAGTGAAGGACAGGGAGGCCTGGTGCCGCAGTCCATGGGGTTGCAAAGAGTCAGACACGACTTGGTGACTGAACAACGACAACAACTTGCGTGTCTGTGGTGTCTGTGTGAGGCGTCTGTGTCCTGTGATGACCCTGTGAGGGTCATCTGTGAGGTACATGTGCAGTGAATGTGCATGTCATGTGTGTGTGTGTGTGGAGTGAATGTGTGTGTGCAGTGTGTGCATGTCATATGTGGGAGGTGTGTGTGAGGTGTGGATGCAGTGAATGTGTGTGTGCAGTGTGTGTGAGGACCGCCTCCCTGGTGACCGAGGGTGTCCACCCTGTCCAGCCTTGAGAAGGAGCCCTGGCACCTCTGACGTTGACCCTCACACTCACCCAAGCCCCCGTCCCCCCGGCCCCTGGCCCCCGGTCCCCCGGTCCCCCTGTCCCCCTCCCGTCTCTAGCCCCCCGGCCCCCGTCCCCCTGGTCCCCCGTCCCCCTCCCATCCCCAGGCCCCCCGGCCCCCGTCCCCCGTGCCCAGGGGAGCAGCGCAGTCCGCCCTCCTCGAGGCCCACCCCGCCCTCCGGTGACAGGGCTGCACTCAGTGAGGCCAGGCCACCCAGATGTCCCAGCCGAACCCCCGCCATGCCAGCAACCCGCCAGCCAGCAGTGCCAGCAGCCGCGGACAGGCCCCCAGCGCAGCGGCGGGGGGCATGGTGGCTGAGCCCCGGGGTCGCTGGGAGCATGGCCACGGGGGCAGGAAGCCGGCCCCGGCAGGCACAGCAGCACGTGGAGGGTCCCTGCGTGGAGGCAGCATGGGGACAGGCGCACGTGGGGTGCAGAGAGGGCGGCCTCGCGGGCTCCGCACGGTGCACACTGCCCTCCGTCTCAAGAGGACAGCGCTCCACCCGCGCCGGCCCACCCGGCCTGCGGTCCCCGTGGCTCCGGCTGAGGGACCGCGGGGAAAGGCACCAGGACCGGCCACACCACGGGGGGCTTCCTGGCAGAGGTGTCCCGAGCGGGGGGTCAGGGAAGGCCCTGGAAGGCACTGACCAGTGTCAGGAAAGAAACTCCTCCCCTGGCAGGAGCGGCCTGTGGGGCCCGCAAAACAAGACGGGAGGGCTCACAGCCACCACCCCGCGAGATGCGGGGACAGCCGGCCCCGGGAGTGACACGGCAGGATGCCGCCTGGGGGCACGCTCCTCAGAGCCTCCTGGGCCGGGATGCGGAGTCTCCAGGCTTGTGGTCTCGGAAACATCTTGCCCAGGCAGAGGACCGTCTCCTCCGTGATTGCTGGGGACTCTGCTCCCCCTAGAGTTCGGCCAGCACGCCACCTCCAAGGTCCACACACGACCCATCCACAGCCACGAGGGCCTGCAGGAGGCAGAGACCCGCCCCAGGCCACAGGGTCGGGGGCGGGAGGCGGGGCGCTCGGCAGGGCAGGGCTGACGGCGAGGAGCCAGAGCCCTCGCTGAGCCCCAGGGAGACACCGTCAAGACCCGTGGCCCTGGAGGTGGTGACGGGCCCGGCGCCTGCCGCTTCCGTGAGCAGAGCTGGCCTGTTTGTGCGTTTCTGACACGCACTCCAGGCGTCTAACCCGGCCCCGCCAACGGCTTTTCGCTCCTCGTGGTGGCCAGACACCCGAGCAGGCTCCCGTGGGGGAGACTCCACCACGCCCCTCCCGGCCCAGTCGCTGCCCGGCGGTTTCCTCTGCTTCTCCTCCGACTCCATGGGCACAGGGGCCTGGACGCGGACAGCCGGGCCGTCCCCGGGTGGGCCCACCTCATGCTGTGGGAGCACAGACGCAGGCGCAGAGTGAGGGGCATCTCAGCATTTGATGAAACCCTGACAGACGGTGGTTTTGTGAGGGGATGAGTGCCTCGTCACTGGGGGAATTCAAGCTGAGGACAGACCACTGCTGGCTTTGTGAGGGGATGAGTGCCCCGTCACTGGGGGAATTCAAGCTGAGGACAGACCACTGCTGGCATGACACAGAGGGGACCCAGCACTGGCTTGGATGACCTTCAAGGCCCCATTTCCAACGACCTCTAAATCCCTGACATCTGCACCCCAGCTGGGCTGCCCACTGGCCGATTCCCCAGGCAGCCTGTCCTCAGGGGGAGGCTTACCACCCAGGTTTGGGGGAGCTCAGTGGTTCTCTTTACAACATCACTACTCTCACAGACAGCCTGGGGGGTGTTAGAACTAAATACAAAATAGAGATCAGGCTTGAAAATTTCCCTGAGCAGACAAAACCAAAAACCATGTAAGCCACGTAAGCAAAAGTAAATCCAGCTTATTTCACAAACAAGCAAAATTTAACTTAGGTTACTTCTTGTAAATGCCTCTGATAATCATAAAAGAAACAAACCTCTTCCTAAAAGTGGTAGGAGACACAGGCAACCTCACTTTGTCTTGCTTTGCAGGCATCGTGCAGTTCACAAACGGAAGGTCATGGGCAGCCCTGTCAAGCAAGCCCTTCGCCACCATCTTGCCAACAACCTCTGCTCACTCCGTGTCTCTGTCTCATTTTGGGAATTCTCACAACATTCCAAACGTTCACTATTATTGGACTTGCCATGGTGACTTGCAAGCAGTGATCTTTGATATTAATATTGCAGCTGTTTTGGCATTTTTTAGCAATAAAGTGTTTTGTAATGAAGTGAAGTGAAAGTCACTCAGTCGTGTCTGACTCTTTGTGACCCCGTGGACCATACAGTCCATGCAATTCTCCAGGACAGAATACTGGAGTGGGTAGCCTTTCCCTTCTCCAGGGGAATCGAACCGGGGTCTCCTGCCTGCACTGCAGGCAGATTCTTTACCAGCTGAGCTATGAGGGAAGCCTGTTTTGTAATGAAGGCATGCAAACTGTTTTTATGGAGGTGACACTATCGCACCCTTAAGAGACAGCAGCCTGGTGTGACATAACTGTCAAATGCACGGGCAACTGAAAACTCTATGTGCCCGTCTCTACTGCAGTGCGCCAGCAGTCAAGTGTTTTAAAACCAGTATTATTTTTTTACTACAATTTATTTTTTTTTGCGCTGTGCTAGGTCTCTGGCGTGTAGAGTATTGGTTGAGGTACATCAGCTTCTCTTTGGAGTACAGACTCTGGAGTGCAGATTGAGTTTGGCCCATGGCATGTGGGATCCTAGGGCTGCCCAGGCAGTGCGGTGGCAGAGACTCCGCCTGCCAATGCAGGGAATGCAGGGGACGCAGTTCAGTCCCTGAGTCAGGAAGATCCCTTGGAGGAGGAAATGGCAACCCAATCCAGTATTCTTGCCCGGGAAATCCCATGGACAGAGGAGCCTAGTGGGCTACAGTCCATGGGGTCGCACAGAATCAGACGCGACAGCACACACAGGTACACACGCTATGTGGAATCCTAGTCTCCTGACCAGGGATCGAACCCACATCCCTGCATTGGAAGGCAGATTCCTAACCACTGGACCACCAGGGAAGCCCCCGAAGTCACTGCTGAGCAAACCCTTGCTGTCTGGGAAGCTTGCTGCGATGACCAACCAAGGTGTAGGTAGGCACTCCCAGCACCAGATGTGCCAACCTGGGGCACGGCGCCCCAAGCGTCTCCTCCATCTTTGACTTTGGAAGCTCCAAGTTCACAGACTTGGAGCAGGCTTTACCTGGGCGTGTGGGACGAGACGGCCTTCACTCATGCCCCCCAGGGCCAGCTGCCAGCCCACAGAAGGCACTTCCCGCCCTGGACCTCCTCCTCCCCAGGAGAGGCGCTGCTGACCCTCCACGGGTTAAAGCCTCTGCGGCACAGGGCCCTTTCGTACTGCTCATGGGGTTCTCTAGGCAAGAATACTGAAGTGGTTTGCCATTCCCTTCTCCAGTGGACCATATTTCATCAGCAAGCAGATCCAACCAGTCCATCCTAAAGGGAATCAGTCCTGAATACTCACTGGAAGGACTGATGCTGAAGCTGAAGCTTCAATACTTAGGCCATCTGATGCAGAGCTGACTCACTGGAAAAGACCCTGATGCTGGGAGAGATTGAAGGCGGGAGGAGAAGGGGACCACAGAGGATAAGATGGTTAGATGGCATCACCAACTCAATGGACATGAGTTTGAGTAAACTCCGGGAGTTGGTGATGGACAGGGAGGCCTGGCATGCTGCAGTCCATGGGGTCGTAAAGAGTCAGACACAACTGAGTGGCTGAACTGAACTGACACAGGGCCTGGGTCTCAGGAAGAGCGCAGATGGAAGATTCCAGGAGGCGAGGCGGGCAGAGTGGAGGGCCGGGGAGAGGCCACAGGGCTGGATGTGCAGAGGGAACGTGCGCGGGGGCCGTTCCGCCTCGCTGCTGTCTCCAGGCTGGCTGGCAGGTCCAGAGTGCGCTGAACACACACCGGGCACCTCCTGTACGCTCAGCACTTTCCCCCGGAGACCCCAGACCACGGAGGAGGGTGAAGCATCAGAGGCCAGCTGGTGCGGGACTCCAGAGCAGGGCTCCGGAGGCCCAGGCCACGTGGCGACGGGCTCTGTCCTGGCTTGGACCCAGGGCCCCACCCACGGTAGGGGTGACAGACGGGGGTCTTCGGCGGCTGCCCCTCTTCCCGCCCGCCTGGTCAGCCGGCACTCCGAGGGGCGGAGCTCTGCAGGGACCTGGGTGTCACCCTCTGAGGCAGTGCAGAGCCTCAGGGAGGAGGGAGCCGGGCAGAGGGAAGGGGCGTCTCCCCAAGTCAGGAGGGCAGTCAGAGGCGGAGTCCGGACGCCCCGCTCCGGGGCCGGGTCTTCTCTGTCTCCTTTTAAGAACAATATGGGAGGCTTTCCATACTGGGGGGCACGGGAGTCCCTGAGCCCCACACAGGAACAGAGGGTATGGGGGTCTGGTCACCTCCCCACAAGGGCCAGCAGTGGCGGGGAGCATGCAGCAGTGATGGGGAGCACCCAGAGGTGGCAGGGAGCACCCAGCAGTGGTGGGGAGCACTCAGCGGTGATGGGGAGCACCCAGCAGTGATGGGGAGCACCCAGGGGTGGCAGAGAGCACTCAGTGGTGATGGGGAGCACCCAGCGGTGGCGTGGAGCACCCAGCCATGGCTGGGAGCACTCCAGCCCATGTGTCGGGTTCAAGTCCAGCTCTCCAGGCGAGTGTCCTGGGAACCTGATCCCCAGTTTCCTTATTCTAGAAAATGAATAATGATAGTACCTTCTGCACAGAGAATTGCACTAACTGATGGAGTTATCCACATGCAATGCTCAGAACAGGCCCAAGTCACCACCAACTTGAAAAATAAGTGAAAAATAAGAACCGTTGTCCTCAGCCTCCATGGGCACTGTGCCAGGACCCCTCAGACACCAAACCCATGAATGCTCAAGTCTCTTATAAACACTTGGCACACCTCCCTCCTGGATACTCTAATTCACTTCTAGATTGCTGAGAACACCTCACACAATGTAAACACTATGTAACTAGTTGTAAATACAATGTAAACACTACATAAATAGCTGTTGGCATGTGGCATATTCAAATTTTGCTCTGTGGAACTGTTCAGAATTTTTTTCAAATATTTTCACTCTACAGCTTGTTGAATCCTCAGACGGGGAGGAGAACCCACAGATACAGAGAGTGGCTGTGTGTCACCCGCCCCAGCAGTCCCACTCCGAGGCGCTTGCCCAAGAGAAATAAAGTCAGGTGTCCTGTCAAAAACCTGCCCTCAAATGGTCACAGCACTGGCATTCACACAAACAGCAGCCGAAACGCCATCGACAGATGGATAAATACACTGCGGTTTATCCCTGCCACGGGACATCTTCAGCAGTTCAGAGGAACGAAGGCCAGATTCATGACACGTGGACTGACCTTGAAAACAGAAGCCAGTCACAGAAGACCACCAGGTGAATGACTCTGCTCACATGAAATGTCCAGAGAGACAGACTGGCAGAGACAGAAGACAGATAACCCCCTGGTTGGATCTTGGGGAAAAGGAGGACGGGGTGACCACTGATGCATACAGCTTTCTTTCTGGGTGACAAAGTTCTGAAGTTAGATGGCGGTACTGGCTGCAAAACTCTGTGCTAAAAATCACCGACTGTGCACTTCAGGTGACTGCACTGTACAACACGGAAGTTACAGCTCAGTCAGGATTTTTTAAAAGTAAAAAATCTGGGGTCTTCCCTGGTGGTCCAGCAGTTAAAACTCTGAGCTTCCCCTGCAGGGGTACGGGTTCAATCTCTGATCAGAGTTAAACTAAGTTCCCGGATGCTGCGTGGTGTGGCCAAAAAAAAAGTAAAGCCCTGTAAACCTTCACGGGAAGGGGTCTGCTCACAGTTCTGAGAGCAAGGGGGCGGGGCCAGGGAGCCCCAGCAGCGGCCCGCAGCCAGCTGCAGGGTCCAACTCAGGACTCTGAGTTACGGAGCTCCACGTCCGAGGTTCTTCCCGAAGCTTTTCCTGAATCCAGCCTGATGCCCAAACATCCAGGGAAAGCCTCCGCTTCCCCCCACCAAGCCCTCAGGAAGTGCTCCCACCTCTCAACGCCCCTCCAGCTTTCCGTGGGATCTGAGGCCACGGCCAAGGTCACAGGGGACAGGCACCCGCCCGAGACCCTACACTCCGGCCCCAGCCAACACCTTTAGGAAGCGGAGGCAGAAGCAACGCAGCAGGCTCTGGGCTGTGCGCACTCCAGGGGCAATGCAGCGGTGAGTTGGGCTCCTGGTCAAAACCTCTGGGCAGAGGCCCAAAGGGTGAAGGCGGGAGGAGGAGGGGACGACGGGATGAGATGGTTGGATGCCATCACTGACTTGATGGGCATGAGTTTGAGTAAACTCTGGGAGTTGGTGATGGACAGGGAAGCCTGGCGTGCTGCAATCCATGGGGTCACAAAGAGTCAGGCATGACTGAGCGACTGAACTGATGTCTTCTTTAGAGAAATGTCTGTTTAGCTCTTTTGCTCAGTTTTTGATTGGGTTGTTTATCTGGTATTTAGTTGCATGAGCTGTTTGTATATTTTGGAGATTAATCCTTTGTCAGCTGTTTCACATGCTATTCCAAGTGTTTCAATGAATTAGTCACAGCGCTGCAGGAGGCCGGATCTGGACACAGGTGCCTGGCACCTGGGTGGCAATGCTGAGCACCTGTGAGGTGCCAGGTCCACAGCCCCCAGACCCCACCCGGACAAGTCAGGGCCCAGGAAGATGCAGAGTCCACTCTGGGCCGTGCTCTCGCCCGAGGCCATGTGCTGGGGTCTGGGGGATGGTACGCAAGCGGCTTCCAGCCAACAGGCTGCCTGGACCAGCAGTGGCGAGCAGGCTGAAGGCCCCTGACCGCTCAGAGAAGGCGACAGGCTGCCTAGAGGTTGGGGGTGCGGCGGTGCAGGCCCTCCCTCGGTCTCTCCACCGCTGCCCCGGGTCTAACGGCACATGGCCAGCCCCATGGCGGGAAGTCAGCCTGGCTCTCTGGCCTCTGGGGGCAGGTGGCACAGCCAGGGCCTTCCCACAAGAGGCAGGGGCTCGGGGCTCCACCCACGTCTCCCAGCTGGCAGAGTCACCACATGGCAGGAAGCCCCCGGTGCCCCCGAGCCCCTCCTGCTGCAGCGCGGCCCCGGGGAGGGGGCGCAGGAGCACCCTGCTTCCCGAAGCCCCTTCGTGAACCCATGAAGACGCGACTCTGCCAGCGACAGAGAGACCATGAGAGCGCGGAAGGCCGTCCCTGTCAGTCCAGGGAGGCGGGGGCTCTGGCCGCCCCCACCCTCCCCCCGGCCGTTCCCCAGCTTCAAAACACAGGACAAGTGAGCAGGATGCAGAGAAGGACAATGAGGAGATAAAGCAAAGGCAGGCAGAGAATCCACGAAGCCTGTCTCAACCGGAGGAGGACTTTCTCCACATCTCCCCTGGGCAGGGCAGACGAGGGAGCGAGCCTCAGCCAGCCGCTCCAGGGCATCTCTGCAGGGGTCCTCTCAGCCAGGGGGGCACACGGGGTCAGGGCGGGGCGCGGGTCCAGACACAAAGAGCGATTCAGCGCGCCTCCCCCACCAGCGGGCTGAGGACCGAGGCCCGCCCCCGAGGCCCCCGGCCCACCGCCTCCATTTCCAGAAGCCCTCCCCACACTCCCACCCCGGACCTGCCCGGACAGACTCTGAGGCCACAGTAGGGAGGCGGGCCGGGAAAGACGAGGCGAGCCAGGAGAGGAGGGCTGCTCTGGGAGCAGCCTTTCGTCCTTTCTTTCTGCCTTTCTGCCTTTCCGTCCTCTTGGCCTCCCCCGAGCCCCTGGGTTTGTTTTCCACGTTTTGCTGTCCTGCCCCAGGCGGCCTGTCGGGCCCCAGAGAAGCGGGCAGCAGCTGGCATCACTGGCAGAGCGCGGGCAAGAGCACGAGTCTCCGGCCCCAGCCGCTATGACCGACCCTCCAGGCCTCTCGGGCCTGTGTCCAGCCTGGGGACGCTGCACTCGGGGACCCCACCTCCTTTCTGCTGCCATCAAAGCCGTTTGCCTTGTGCTCTGACTTCAGAAGAGAGAAAATACCTGCTCGGTTCCTAACGGGGAGAGGGGAGGGGCGGCTGGCCCGAAGGTCTGCCGGGCAGATGCAGCCCCGTCTCCGATGCCCACGTGCCGTGTGATCCCGGGCAAGGCACTCCCCCTCTCTGAGCCCCGCTTCCCCGTCAGCTAACCAGATGCTGAACACATGCTGCCCGAGGCGCCCCCAGCGCCCTAGGATGCGGCTCACTCCACATGGCCCTGGGATGCTGAGGCCTTTCCCCCAAAGCCCTTCTCTAAAGCCCCTTCCTCAGACGGCCTTAGACGGAGGCCGCCGGGCTCTGCTTCTCCCTGGGCGCCGGGGGCTCTGCTGGTCGAGACTCCTCCCTGCAGACTCACCCCAGCCTGCAGCCCCCAATCGTGCCGACGGTCCCCGCTCTGCCTGAGCCTGCAGCCCCCGTGACGACACAGAACCTCAAAAAGGCCACTCCCCGGGCAGCACGCAGCACACTAATTCACACTAAGAACTGCCCACACCCCAGGAGTTTATGTGAATTATTCCCTGACAAGTTGGTGACAGTGTTCCCAGTTCACAGACGACAGAACCGAGCCTCAGAGAGGTCAAGTAGTTTTCCCAAGTTCACCCAGCTAAAAGGAAAAGGCCAAGATGGGAGCCTGGATCTGTCTGCTCTTAACCATCAGCGTTCCTGCCGAGATGTCACCACCACCCCAGGCTTTCACAGGACCCCAGCAGAGGATGGGGGGCTGAGAGGCTGGCCCGTGGGACTCTGCCCCCCGCCTGGACAAAGGCAGACCAACAGGCCCTTCAAGCAGCTAAACCAACCATGTCCCTTGCAGCTGAGTGCACCTTGCCCACAGTCACACGGTGAGCCTGAGGTAGTACCCCTCCGCACCCCAGGGCAGCCCACAGTCCACACTGGCACCCCAGGATCCTGGGGGTCCTCCCGCCGCTGCCCTGGGTCCTCCAGCCTTTCCCTCTGGGGGCCAGCGTCACCCTCTCTTGGCCCCTGTTGGCTCCTTCCTGGAAGGTTCTGGAGCAGATGGAATGAACCCATCTTGTAACCTCACAAGGGATGGGAGGTGGGGCAGGGGAAACAGCAGAAAAGAAGCGTGGCATTAAAGTCACGCAGCAACTTTCTTGCTCATGAATTTTCAGCCACAGAACCTCTCTAATGATCCAAGAAAGAGACACAGAAAGACACAGACAGGGAAAGGGGCAGAGCCACTGTCCCCTTCTGCAGGGATGCCGACGCTGCTGGGTGATCACACGGCAGGTCCCCCCACCCCTCCTCTGGCACCCTCACCCCCCTGCAGGTCCTATCGTTCCCATGGGCAGCAGCCACTCAGGACGCAGCACTACACGAAGCATCGCACGCGTGTCGCTTGTTCACTCCTCGCGGCAACTGAAACCCCACAGCTGTTATCACTTCATCCTGACAACTAACTGAAGCTCAAGGTCACACAGCCACTAACCGGTAAGCCCGGGTCCCCCAGGGATGCCTGCCCGTGGCCCACTCACACCCAGTATCTGCCTCGAGGGTCTCCACTCTGCAGACAGACGTGCGCTGGGAATTCCAGGGCCACGGGCCCCATCGCCCAGCCAAGCCCACTTCTGATCAGACTCCATCTGGAACTGCAGCCACAGGACTGCAGGAGTCCCAGGAAGTCATCTGGTTGGACCCCTGCCATGTACAGGCGAGGAAAGCAAGAAAGGGGCTTGCCCAAGGTCACACAAGGTCACAGAAATGAGAAGCAGCACCTTGAATTAGACTCGGGCGTCCTACCTTAAAGCAGGAACCTCCCCACAGCACCCTGAGGCCCACTGAGAACTCACCGCTCATCTCAGCTGGAAGAGAGCCAGAGCACTCCAGGCGGGCTCGGGTTAAGCTCCTGCGTCCAGGGCCATCAGTGCGGCCTTTCAAGTCATCCTCATCGACTGGACACAGCATGACCTTGGGAGGCCCGTGACACCCCCTGAACCCCCAGGCCTCCTGTGCCGCACTGGGAACCCTTCTGGGGTAAGGCTCTGCCCCTGCAAGGAGGCTGTGTGGTGTTGCAAACAGTCTCAGGCGCGCTGCCTTGCGGGGGAGGGCGCTGCAGTTCTTGCCAGAGATTAGGTCACAGAGGGTTGCGCCCCCATCCCCTCAGCGCACCCCACCTGCAGGCAGGCCAGCAGGACTGGGAGAGATTCAGTTACCATACACTCCAAACCTCCATTTTCCAGATGAAAATACTGAGGCCTGGCGGGGTAAGAGTTGTCCAAGGTCACAGGAGGGGTGGACATGGAAGCTTCCCGACTCCGCCTGGCACGCCAGGAACGCAGCTCCACACCGCCACCCGGGGTGGCCGCGCGGAGCTCCTGCAGAGGCGGGGAACGGAGGCGGCGCCCTGCTAGGCGGCCCGGCCAGCAGGTGCGCCCGTGGGCTTGCTCGCCCACCGCCCTGCCCCCACACGCCCCCACTCCCCACGGGGTATCGCATCACCTGAAGGCTCAGAGAGGTGCGGCCGCTCGTCCAAGGTCACACAGCACAATGAGCAGAACCTGCGCGCCTACGGCACCCCACCCCACCCCAGTCTCTCCAAGCTACGCCGCTGGCCGGGATCCCGGACCCTCGCTTCCCCACGTACTGGCCGCGCGCTGGCTGGAGTAGAAAAAGTTTCTGGGAGAGGAAGGGGCGGAAGACGACGCCGCCCATCCCAGACCCGGACGGCCACCGCCGGACGAGGGGCGCAGAAAGGAAGCGCGCTCCGCCAGGTCCTCAGCGGGGTCCCACGCCCGCAGCCACTCTCCGCCGTGGGGTTCCCGGGGTAATTCCGGATTCTCCCCCGAAACCATCAGTGTGCTGCCGAAGCGCGCGGACTGCCGGAGCGCCGTCCCCCACCGCCCAGCATCCGAGCGTCCCAGGCGGGCACCGCACGCGCCCCCAGCCCGGCCGCCCGCGCGCGCGCGCTCTTACCCGGAGACGGTTCGGCGTGGCGGCCCGAGCTCGCGGCGAGAGCGGCGGGCGGGACGCCGTGCTCCCGGGGCGCAGGCCCCTCTCGGCGCGTCCCGGCGTCCGGCCGCTGCGGCTCCGCCCGCTCCCTCGCGCCGCAGTAGTAACACCTGCCCCGCGCCCGCCGCCCGCCAATCCCGAGGCCGCTCTCGGCCGTCCGCACTCGGCGCGGGCCCGGCCTCCCAGTGCGACCCCCGCCTCACGACCCGCCCCCCTCGGGCCCGGGGAGGGGGAGAAGTTTGCGGTGGGCGGGGCCGGCCGCGCGCCCCCGGCGACACCCGGCGCGCCCCGCCACCCACGGGCGCTCCGAGCCTCTCGCGCACCGGGATTGGCTGCGAGGGGCGGCGGGCGGGCGCCTCCCCGCGCTTGGGGACCGGCTCGCGGGCGGGAGGGAGCCGATTTGCTCCGGGGCTACGGATGAAGGCTTTCCTGGTCGGGAAGAGAAAAGGGAGGCGAAGAAGAGCGGCGGAGACAAAGGCTGGGGGAGGCGGGGGGCGTCCGCCCGGAGCCCAGGCTCTTCCCGCGCCCCTGGGGGGACAGGACGCGGGCGGAGGATTCCTGCGGGGAGGGCACAGGACCCCCGACCCCGCTCCCAGAGGGCACCTCCGTGGGGCCTCTCGGGAAGGCCTGGCCTGGGCCCCCCACCCCAGCACAGCGGCCAGAGGGGCAGCGGGGACGAGGAACCCCTGAGCCCCTCCTCCGGCTTCGGCACCCAGCGCCCGGACCTCCGCACCCGCTCAGCCGCGTGGAACTTGGCTGGTGTCGGCGCGCCAGCCCCGAGCCCGGGCTCGCCCCCGCCCCTCCGCTCAGCTCTCAGGAGCTACCCCCTCTCTGCTTGCTCCCGGCCTGCAGGCTCAGAATCCGGAATCAAGTTTGGGGTTTCACCCTGGAAGTGACACCCCCAAATCCGGTGTGTTGGGAGAGAGCTTAGCCGGGCTCCCCGGGGCGCCTCACCTCTGCAGAGCCGAGGAACCCCGGGAGCCCCCAGCCCTGCACCCCCTCAGTGTCCCCTCCTCCCTGCGTCCCCAGCCCGCCAGCCACATCGCCCGAGCGGCCACCGCACTGCGGCGCGGCAGCGCTGGAGCTGGGCACCGACCAGCCAGGCACGGGCCAGGTCTGCGGAAAACGCTGACTCGGGGTTTACAGCTGCAAGCGCCGGAGTGTGTGACACCCGCACTCCTGGCTGGGGGCACGCGGGCGGAAACGGGGGCGAGGGGACGCGGCGCAGAGACCAGCTGGTCCATTCTGCTGACCTCTCACATGCCTCCCGCGGGTCAGGGGCTCAAGGTCAGCTGTTGGGCAGGAGGGGAGGTTTCCTCCCACAAGCCCCCCGGGGCTGCTGGTCAACACAGAGGGGACCTGCCCCCCGAGGTCGCTCTCCCGTCCCTCCTGGGAGAGAGAGAAGCTTCTCCCATGAAGACCACACAGTGTCTTCTCCCGGAGGAGGGAAGGAGCTGAAAGTACCACAGGCTGGACTCAGGTTAAATGCTTGGTATTTCCTGATGCCCAGGGTCTGGGGACGCCACCCTGCTTGATGATTGGACCGTGATGTTGGTTGGACGCAGGGGGATGGATGAAATGGGCCTCGTGGCTCCTTCTGGTAAAACGGAGCAAAAGATCCGCTGAGCGTCACTCAAAGCTGCCTCCAGTAAAGTGGTCCAAGGAGGGGTGAAATGGCCTAATTACAGAAAGCAAAGCATTTATGGAGGGCTGTCTGCTTCTTGGAGGGCAGAGCTCCCTCCAGCATGCCCTTCCTCCCCAGGAAGGGATTCTGCACGGGCAGGGGACACGGCCATAGGCTGGCCAGGGCAGTAGGAACACTGTGGCCCCTGGCGAAGAGGAGCTTAGGAAACCTCCCACACCAGAGGACCCTCCCCCGGGGAGGGTGGTCAGGACAACTTCCAGCCTCGGTTTCACTTGAGCCTGGAAACACCCCCAAGAGGCAGCAGAGTGAATGGGGTAGCCTTCACCCTGTGGGCCCCAGGAAGCCCCCAAAGGCTTCACAAGCTTGTATCTTGGGGTGCGGTATGGTGTGGAGCTGGGTCCTGTGACCCAGACGCCAGCCCTCCCCTAGTCCGTGTGAGCTGGGGGCACACCTGTGGCGATGCCTGTCCCAGGGGCTCCTTACCTCCCTCTGTGCCCCCTGACCCTGCCGCCCCCTGCCCCGAGGCACCCCCCTCACTGGACACAGCCCTGCAGCCGCACCTGCTCTGCCCCCGGCCCCGTGCTCCAGCTGCGCTGAGGGCGGTGCTCCTTCTGTGCACAGAGCCTCTGCCCACGCCGCCCGCCCCGTCAGCCTCCCCTCCACCGCCTCCCTGTGCGTGTCCTCTGAGCACTGGTCGCCGGTCATTCCTGGCTCTCACCACCCCCTCCCCAGACTGCAGGCGCGCTCTGGAGGGGAGCAGCACACCACCACCTCAGCATCTCCGTGGCTCTGAGGCTCCTGGAGTCCTGGCACTGCCTGTGTATGCTGTGACCTTGGGTGACCCCTGAGCCTTGGCTTCGCACCTGCCACACAGGGACTCCAACTCCAAGCCGGAGCCACTGCAGGGACTAATGGGGCGAGGTGTGTACAGAGACCAACGCCGTGCCTGGAGCAGGCCGTCAGCTCCTGCTGGAAACGAGGGGATGGAGGATGGAGCCTCCTCGCCCACCCTTCTCCCCAGGGTCTCCTCTCCTTGCCCCCCGCCCCCTTTCACCCAGCAGCTCCTGAGCCCTCACATCTGTCCCTGGCTTCCAGGATGGACGGACAGCAGCTGCAGCCCCCATCCCTCCCCGCCCAGGCCCGGCCCCTCTGGTTCCTGGCTCTGCCCCGCATCAGCCTCGGATGCCAGCACAGCATCTCCCCAAGAGCCACGTCCAGCTAAATCCACGCTCACGGCCCAGGAGAGGTCCCCTACGCCTCCTTCACAGAGACCCCTGAGCTGCCCCCAACCTGAGCTGAAGCCTCTGCTGCGGGCTTGGCAGGGGGGCGGCTGTCAAAAGGGGCCCGGGGAACTCGCTGGTCTCTCTGGGTAGGCTCCCTGCTGCTGTCCCGTGTCCTCCTTTCTGTCTGATCTGGGCCTTCATGAAGCCCGCTGCCTGGAGGTGGGCAGCCTGGCCCCAGCCCTCCGCCTGACGCCCCTCAGCTGGCCCTGGAAGCCTTGCCATTTCCCCCGGCCAGTCCAGCGGCTCCTCGGGGAGGGGAGGGAGGGGAGCCCCCTCCAGAGGCTGCTCTGGCCCTTTCCTGGGCCGGGTCCCCGCTCCACCTCGGAGCTGTGCAGACAGAGCGGTGACTCAGCTCTTCCTCCAGGGGTGCAGCACCTGGGCTTCTGCCCAAAGAGCGTCAAAACCCCTCGAAGCTCCGTGACCACTGCCGGTGGCCCTGGCGGCCCTCCTCTCCCCCTCCCCTCCCCATCTCCATCCCCCCTCCCACCCACCCCCCCCCCCCCCCGCCCCGGGCTTCACTGGACAACCTGAGCAGCACTCTGGGGCCACAGACTTGGAAGGATGGGACCCTCATGGCTGGCAGACTCTGGGGTTGAAACACAGGCTCTGAAACCAGACGCCTGTGGGGAGAGGATTGCGGCTGTGCCCCCTAGCCGCTGCAGAACCTTGGGCAGGTTACGTAGCGTCTCTGTGCCTCCTCTGTCAAATAGGGACACAATGGTTTGCACCTCATCCAGCCATTGCGAAGACTGCGTAAGTAAAAACACACAGAAACGTGGAAGGGCGTCTGGGCCATGACGGGGCCCAGAGTCATCAGCTCGGCGCCCGCTCTCTGCAGGCACCGGTGCAGGAACTGGCACCTGCTCACCCTGAGCCTCTCCCAGAGCAGTGGCTCGTGTGCCGCGTGCGAGGCCTGCGGGTCGCGGCTGACGGCCCCATCCCCTTGTCCCAGCAAGAGTTTGCATCCCTCTGTCAGGCGGGGCTGGAGAGCCGCCCCGGGGACACGCCGCATCCATAGCTGTCCAGGGGCGGGGGGCGGGCAGCAGGCCTGGCAGCCATTAGACTTGGGGGTTTTGATAAAGAAGTTGTCGAAAACAAAGAACGCAGCTGACAGGCAAGCCGGATCGCACAGCAGGCCTTGAGAGTCAGAGGGAGGGACCCTCTGGGTGGGGGAAGGTGGCCGGCACCCGATCTCCTCTGACCCAGGGACCTGGGCAGCAGGCCAGGGCCCCCACCACCTGGCGGGAAACCCCTCAGATGGGCACTTCACCCCGGGGGTTCTCATTTTCTCAGGGGGCACCGAGACAGGCCAGCCTCAAGTGGGCACGCAGCCAGGAGGCACCTCGCAGGCAGCTGTGGAGGCTCCCAGGGGGAGGAGGTTTCCTGCAGGAGCAGGTGGGGGGGATGAGGCCAGCTTGCGGGGACAGGTTTCCTGCGGGTGGTGGGGGGATGCGGCCGGCTCCTACAGGAGCAGGTGGGGGTCAGGGTCTGAGATGACGACAGTGAGGACAGCACTCTCCGTGGACCAGACTCTACTCACCCCACACATGCAAAACCCCGCGAGAGGAGTGCTCCTGTGCCTGTTTCACAGGGGCAGGGAGGGCGCAGTGACCTGCCCATGCTCACAGCGGGGAGGAGGCTGCAGGGTCTCCTCTGGGCCCTGCCCCACCCCCTCTGCCCCCACCTTGCCGATCAAGACCATGCCCTTGCTCCTCCCCATAAGCTGGACAGGCTGTGGACTGCTGGGTGTCGCCCAGTCCTTAAGTTACACTATGAAACGGGTGTTTGTGCCCAGCTCACGGCGGAGAAAACCGAGGCTCCACAATGCAAATGACTTGCCCGAGTTCACTCGGCAGCAAGGGGCCAGGGCCAGGGCTCCCACCCCACGCCCAGGGCCCCAGGGGCTGCAAACCCAGCGCTCCCTGCCCAGGCCTCCCCGTCTCCCACACAGGCTTCTCTGCAGACTCGGGCCAGAGACACAGGCCCCGAGGAGAGTGGAGTTTGGCAGAGGCCGCCGAAGAGGAAAGGAATTGGGTCTGAGCAAGGAGGATCTTCCCCGAGAATTCAGGAAGCCACCCCTGTGACTGCGTCAAGAGCAGCCTGAGGCCTGTGTTCAGGGCGTGAGCCACCTGCTGGGCAGGAGCACAGCTGAGGCGCAGGGTGTGTGTCCTCAAGGGAGGCCGGCCTCGGGGGACGAGACGCTGGCAAGGATCCCCCTGTCCCGCACCCCCTGGACGTGCATCCATCCAGTAAGCTCTGCTGGCCGGCTCCAGATGGCTGGGATACGAGCCCTGCACAGCCGGAGGGAGCAAGAAGCGTGGGCTCGGGGAACCCTGGCTCTGGGTGGAGGGCGCCTGGCTGGGGCGGGGCTGAGAATGGGAGGGACAGGGCAGAGTTCAGACAAGGGGTCCCCGAGCAGAGGCGGGCTGAGCTGGGGGTCCACACACAGCTTTACTGAATTTGCAGACACTGTGTTTGCACTAACAGAAGGCTGGGGGCAGCCCTGTGTCGAGCAGGTCTCCGGCACTCTTTCCAACAGCCTACGTTCACTTCGTGTCCCTGTGTCGCATTTGGTAATTCTCCCAACAGTTCAATGTTTTCATTAGTGTTCTGTAGCGATCGGTGGACAGTGATCTCTGCTGTCAGTACGAGGACTGGCTGAGGACTCCAATCAAGGTTAGCATTTTTATAGACAAGGTATTTTAAATTAAGGATGAAATGCTGTGATTTTAGACATACTGCCATCACACAGCATAATGTAAACATAACTACAGGCACTGGGAGACAGAACAGCTCATGTGGCCCCACACAGTGGGCAGCGGAGCTGCTGGGTCAGGGGAGATGAGCCTGGCCAGGCTAAGGGGGAGGGTGGGGTGCTTATACACTCTAGGAGGAAGACCCCAAGCTGGGGACATGGGGTCAGACGGCTCCTGGGTCGGGCAGGTGACTGGAAGGGGGGTGAGCTTCCCCTTTACGAGCAGGAGCACGGGCCCGGGTCGGGGCGGGGGTCCAGGGAGGTATGAGCTGGGAGTCCACGGGGGGCCTGCGCCAGAATCAGGGGAAATGTCCAGAACGCACCTGAAACGTGGCCTGGAGCTCAGAGAGGGGTTTGGACGGGGACGTGCCTCCGGAAGACACTGATGCATAGATGGCAAAGAAGCACTTGCTCTGCAGACGTTAACCACCTGACAAGTGGTCACGACCGGCTTTGCTCCCAGACATGGACCCAGGCTCATCCTCCTTGCCACCTCAGTGCATTCCTAACAGCTCCTACCTAGGGTCTGAGCAGTTGTGAAATGCTCCCAAACCGTTTCTTTTCTCTTTCCTAAAGGTCTCAGGTGTGTTTCTACCCAATATGATCTACCCATTTTGCAGAATTGGCAAGTTGAGGCATTGGCAAGCTTTCCTAAGCCACACAAGCTGACTATGGAGGCTGAAGTGATGCCCACTCCCGCCGACCATCAGCCGGGAGGGCAGTCCCCTCAGTTAAGCAGACGCAGCGGATGCTGGTGCAGGGTATCTGTGGGGAGGGCGCTCCCGACACGCCACCCACCCTGTGCCCTCCACCTGGCTTGTGGGGCTGCAGAGAAACCAACCAGGCAGAGTGAGCAGCTTCTGCACGACCCGGGAAAGAGGCAACAGTGGCTGGGCCGGGCGCTGGGGGGACAGAGGCGGGCTGTCCCAGAACTGACTTGCTGGACGTCGGCTGAGTTATTCTCTCTAGGGTGACACCTCAGAGCCCCCCAAATCCATGTCCTTAATGAAGGGGCAGGGAGGTAATTGCTGCGTCGTCTCCAGTGGTGCCAGGGCTTGAGACCCCGAGGGCCCACTCTCTGCCCGCTCTCACCCCAGGCCCCAACGGGGGATTAATTGGGCTTTCAGACCTCTTCCTTGGCCAAGCTTCTTGAGGAAATTAGGGTGATGGGGTGCAAATAATTGAATGTCTTTCTCCAGTCTTCAGGCCCCACTGCCTTAGCCACTGCTCAAATGGATGAGCCAATTAACATAACTAATCGCTCCAGGCCCGGCATGGCATCGGCAGGCACAGGACCCTGGAAGGCGCACTCCCCCAACAAGGCCCTGCCGGCCAGCCGTGCCCCCCAATGGGCCAGGTTTCTGTCAAGCCTGACAGGCGCCTGCACCTGCGTGACCTGCACTGAGCCCAACCCTCAACCTCAGAGGGGCCAGGGTGTCTCCCTCCAGCCTTTCCTCACGTAAACCCCTCACCCCTGCCTGCTCACTCACCCCCACAGCCTCTGTGGACGGCCTAATTCATGCGTCCGACTCGGAGCTTGGCGGGGGCGGGGGTCCCTGATGAGGGAGAGTAGATAAGGCTGTGTCCTCACAGTGTCAGTCCACCTAGGGACCTGACAGTGTACAACCACACACACACGATGTATGATAGACTCGGAACTTTGAATGGGGAGGGAGGATGCTCTAGGCCCACCAGAGGGACTTGGCAGGAAGATCAAGGGCGGCTTCCTGGAGGAAGCAGCGCCTGAGTGGAGGCCTGAAGCTGCACAGAAATCAGCAGGCAGAAGGAGCAGCTCCTGCACGGCCCGGGAAAGAGGCGACCATCCCTGGCGGGGGCTGGGAGGACAAAGGCAGGTGGAGGGTGGATGTGGGGCTGCGGGGGCACTGACGGGGGAGCAGGCAGCCCTAGAGCCAGCCCAGGCATGGGCAGGTGGGTGTGAGCAGAAGCTGGGTGCCGAGTCACCTGCGGGGCATCGAGGAGACGTGTAGGGGGCACGGGCAGCCTCGGGGAAGCCCAGGCTGAAGGCGTGTGCAGCGTCCACTCAGAGGAGGGGCTGAGGCTGAGGGCTGGCGTTCGGGTGAGAAGAGCCCTGGACCCCCACACGCTGGCCCTCCTAGATGGGCGTGCACCCCACTTCCTGAGGCCGTCCTGGTCAGCTCCATCTGAGACTCACGCAGGTGCCCTGTTTCCTTTATCTGTTACTAAACCAACAGCTGGTCAAGTGCCCACAAGCCATCGGTGATGGGGAACATCGCCGGCAGCTGAGGTCAGAGGGGGCTCCCGCCCGCTGAGTGTTGTCTTTCCACGACCCTCTCAGCCCTCGGGAGGCGGACCTTCCCGCCCGTGTCTCCAAAGCCGGACGCCATGCCCAGGTCCCTTCTCATGTCCGGGGCCCATGCTCGGAGGGAAGAGGTGAGACATGGCTGCCGCCTCCACACAGGACCCCGACTTGCCTCCTGATGGACCTGTCTCTGCTCACGCCGCAGCAGCTAGCCGCCGGCTTCTCAGTGTCCACACCCTGTTAAGAGCAGTCAAAGCAGGTTCCTGTCCTAACCAGGCTCCTTCTCCCCAGGCTTCCTCCGGCAGTGAGCATCCAGCCTCCAGGAACCCAGCCCTCTCCCTCCTGAGGGCAGCTGCGAGCCTCTGGCGATGCCTGGGTCCCAGCCGGTCCACTCCTGTCCCAGGGTCTTCCACCGCCTCTGCCACCCCGGCCACTCTCCTGGGCAAGACCGGTCGGTCTGTGTCCTTCTAGAAACAGGACATCCAGAGACGTACGACTCACCCTGAACGTGAGCCGCCTCGCCCTGACTCTGGGGGCGAGCTGGAGCAGGGCCAGCTCTTCATGGCCAGGGGCGCAGCAGGCCCAGCTCAAGGAGAGCTCGTCCCGACCCCCCAGTGACCTTGAGAGGGTCCCAGAGGCAGCCTCCAGCAGAGACGCCCAGGATCAGGGAGCATCTTTCTGTCCCCATGACTTCCTGCAGGCGAGCGGAAGCCCGCTTCCCAGGGCTGCCCTCTCGCCGGGGGCCAGGTGACCACGGGCCCTGGGAGGGGTCGGGGAGGGGAGCAGGCAGCCGACGCCAGGATGCAGGAACCCTGGAGGGCCCACCCCACTTGGGGCTGCCCAGTGCTGGCTCCCAGTGTTGGGGAGGTGCCCCAGACGAGGAGCAGAGGACAGCCCTCACACAGTCTGGGCTCTGGGCCAGCCAGTGGCTGGGGGAGAGCTTCCCTTCTGCAGGGTGGGGGGCACAGGGCTCTGAGAAAGCTAGGGAGGGGGCTGTCCGGCTGACCCCACATGTGGCGCTGGGGTCCGGCTGCCCCTCCCCGCAGCCGCCTGCAGCAGCCAGCCCAGCCCGGCTCTGCCCCAGACCTGCTTGGCGCCCCTCCCGTACTGGCTGGGCGGGTCAGGTCTCTGCCAGGGGCCTGGGGGCCCTGCTGGTCTGATAAGTGGGGTCTGGGTGACCACATGGCCCCTTCAGCTCCAGTTGTCCTGGGGGCCTGGGGGGCTGGCAGTGGGTGAACAGTTGAGGATGCTGGTCCCTTTTGAGGGAGAAGGAGGGGAAATGATGAGGATGGAGACTCAGGTAAAGGGCAGGTTTCAGGTAAACGCGCCCTCGAGGGTGGACACACCTGGGCAGGTAGTAGAGGTGGTGGAGACGCCCCCTGCCCTCAGGTCCTTCCCCAGCCCTGGCGTGGGGCTGGGCCCCTGCTCCCCGGCTCCGGCCCCAGGGCAGACGTGACTACGGGCCTGACTGCAGGAGCGCCGGCACAGCGCAGCGGCTCTGCAATGCAGTGTTGGGGTTTTTGTTAGTTTTTTTTTTCCTATAAGTCCTCATTTCCCAGGGAAAAGCGCAGCCAAATGCTTCTAGAAAGGGGCGGCCAGGCGGCCTGGGATGTCCACCCTTCTGATTCAGGGGCCTGGCAGCCGGCCCTCCTCCCGCCCCTGAGCAGCCCTGCCCTCGGCTCCGGTCCTGGGGTGCAGCCTGAGGGGGCATATCAGCATCCGTGGCTGGAGCACCGCTCAGCGCCGACCTCGACCCCAAGCCTCTGGCTGAGACTCCATCGCCAAGAAGAGACGCCTTTAGACCCAAGGAGCTCAACCTCACCCACCCTCCTCTCTCTGAAGGAGCTTCTTTGGCGGGGAGTAGATGATAGTGTCCCCCTTTGCTGTATCAGATGCTGCTGCAGGGTCTCCAGGGGGAGGGACCCCTCCCTTTGCCCACTGGGTGACGCACTAATTCCACACACTCTGCCTTGGTGCCCTTCTTCGGTTCTTGGGTCTCATTTCCAGGGAACTTTTTGCTCCAACTCTGCCTTTCCAATTAGAAAGGGACGGACTCAATCAGCTAGGGAAACAAAGCCTGACCCAGGCCGCTGGAGACCACTCCTTCTCCCCAGGGCAGCGAGCCCGAGGCCAGCAGAGGAAAGGTCCTGGCTGGGGCAGGTGACCCCCGGCGCCCCCAGGTCCGCACCCTCACCAGAGGGGCGGCAGCGTCCCGCCCGCTCCCCACTCTGCAGCCGGTCTCTCGGGCACAGGAGAGACCTGGGGGCAGCCAGGACAGAGCGGGGCCAAGCTGGCCCAGCCCGGGGGACGGGCTGCCAGTCTGTCATCTGCATGCAGGTGACAGCTGGTGACGCAGCACTCGGGGCTAGGAGGTCGGGGCCCCGCCTGCTGCCACCAGGCTCTGGGCCCGGCAGGAGGGGTCCCCAGGCCCGTGGGGCAGGAGGCCTTTAGATGAAAACAAGCCAGCCCTCAGCCTGGGAGATGCCACCCTACACACGGCGTTTCCGGGGCACAGGCTGTGGACGCAGGGACCGCTCTCCGCCTGAGCTCAGGGCAGGAAGGGGGTCAGGTCAGTGGTCAGGGGGACACCCACTGGAAGGCGGAGGGAACCCTGTAGGCAGGGTAATGCTGAGTCCAGGCCATGGTCTCAACTCTGCCGCCTTCCGGCTGGGGTCCCAGAACATCTGCACTAACCCCGGGCCTGTCTCCTCACCAGGAATGGGAGGGCATGGGTCACAGCTCACAGGCTGCAGCGAGGGGCACCGGCCTAGAGTCTGTTCACCGCAACTGCCGGGAGCCCCCACCCGCAGTCTCGGCCAAACACCTCCGGGATCCTAAGTGCATGAAGTCTCTCCTGGAAGCGCCGTAAGGCACAGAGCCCCAGGGCCAGCCCCAGAGACTCCGGGTAGGTAGGTTCAGTTCAGGCATCCGGGGGCTCACCTCATCCTAAGAAGCGGAGGGGGCCCCATGCCTACGGGCCGCAGCGTGTAGGTGGGCCCGGTGCTCAGCGCCCAGTCCCACTGCGGCCTCACCCCTCTCTGCCGCAAGCACTCCAGAGCAGGACTTCCCGCCACGGCTCATCCCTTCCCACCCTCGGTCCTCAGGTCACTAGCCCCCACTTGGCCCCAGAGACCTTCTGGGGGGGCTGTCAGGCGATGGGCCAAACAAAACCCTCACCCTGGGGACCATGTAATCCTTTATCGACTGACTCATCAGCTCACTCACTCATTCACTCACTCGTTCACTCCCTCATTCATTCCTGCCCTCATTCATTCATTCACTCATTCATTCATTCCTACCCTCATTCATTCATTCACTCGTTCATTCCCTCACTCATTCCCTCCCTCATTCATTCACTCACTCCTTCATTCATTCATTCCCTCCATCATTCATTCACTCACCCACTCACATGTTCACCCCCTCATTCATTCATTTCCTTCCTCACTCATTCATTCACTCATTCACTCGTTCCCTCCCTCACTCACTCGTTCCCTCCCTCACTCACTTGTTCATTCACTCACTCGTTCACTCCCTCATTAACTCATTCACTCACTCATTCCTTCATTTGCTTATTCACTCATTTATTTGTTCACTCACTCATTCATTAACTCATTCACTCACTTATTCATTCCCTCCCTCATCCCCTCACTCATTTGTTCCCTCCCTCATTCATTCACTCACTCACTCATTCAGTCACTCATTCATTTACCCACTCATTCTTAACTCATTCATTCCATTCACTTGCTCATTCATTCACTCAGTCATTCAGTACTTCTGCAAGACTACTCTCTACCAGGCAAAGCGCTAGGTGCCAAGGTTGGCACATGCAAAGCCCCCCTTGTCAGAAAAAGGCCAAGGAAGTGATGGCCCTAGGGGGCCACAAGCCCTTGGGAACCCTCAGCTCCAAACCCCAACGGCAGGTTCAGGCTGGCCCCCCACCCCGTCCAGGAGGCGGCAGGAAGGGGCTGCCAAGGCTGCCCCAGCTGGCCAGGAGAAGGAGCTATCTGGAGAGATGGATGGTCCTCCTCAGCTCATTCACACAGTCACCGAGAGACAGAGCGCAGGCAGCCTCTGCCCCAGGACGAGGAGCATCAGCCTTGGCAGGAAACACAATTCTTCCTAGTGAGTGCCCCAGCTCTGCCTCCAAATGGATCCTCCCCTGGGACCCCTGAGCCTGCTTACAGCACCGTGGGCTTCTGTTGGCTCCACTTCAAAACAGGGTCAACTTCTTACAGACACGTTCCACTGTGGGTATTACCAAACCCACGAAAAAGCAGAAAGAAGGGGCTCCTGTGCTTGGCCCCTGGCCCCAACATTTATGAACAGTTTGCAGTCCTGTTTGCCTAGATCCCTCATGCTCTCCTTTGTTGGGGGCAGGAGCATTTTTGAAGCGAGTCCAGATAACATGCCATTTTTCCCATAAATACTTCAGTATAAGTGAATGCCTCTAACTAAAACGTCTTTTAAATATATAGAGAGATAGATAGATAGATAGATAGATAGATAGATAGATAGATAGATAGATCAATGAACTTATGGTTACCAGGGGGAAAGTGTGGGGGGAGGGATAGACTGGGAGTCAGGGATGGACATGTACACACTGCTATATATGAAGCAGAAGCAGATAACCAACAAAAACCTACTATACAGCACAGGGAACTCTGCTTAATGTTCTGTAATAACCAAATGGGACAAAAACTTGAAAAAGAATAATTACATGTACATGTATAACTGAATCATTTTACTATACACCTGAAACACATATTGTTAATCAGCTATATTCCAATATAAAATAAAAATTTAAAAACTATATGTGACTAGCTGGCCATATCACACCTGGTACAGTAATATTTCCACATTCAAATTTCCCTCATTATCTCAAGCTTTGCCTTTGTATTCTCTAATATTTTTGTCTAGGATTCAGGTGTTATGTTCGAATCTATTTTGAATTGACTTCAGTATATGGTGCAAGATAAGCACTCACTTTTTCTAACACCATTTGCTGAAGAGACTATCATTTCCCCTTTGTATGCTCTTGGCTCCTTTGTCATAAATTAATTGACCAAAGATGTGTGGATTTATATCTGGGTTTACTCTCTATTCTGCACCATTGATCTGTGTGTCTGTTTTAATGCCTGTACCATACTGTTTTGATTACTGTAGCTTTGTTGTGTAGTTCTTATAAACTGAAGGCTGAATCTTGAGGCTTCATTGGACACGGTTTTGATTTCTACCATGACCTGCTCATCTCCCGTTCACCCCAACTCTCCTTCCCAGCATGACCGGCCCAGCCACAGCTGTATCCCCTCTACACTGTCACTTCCTTGACGTCTTATAACGCTTCAGACACAGGCTCTCTCGCTCACCTCTGGGCCTTTGCACCTGCCGTCTCCTTTGCCTGGAACCCTCCCCCTGCTCTCCTAGGTGGGATGCACTTTCAGGATTCTGCTCAGAAAGCCTCACCTGGGTTGGTGCATCTCCTGCTGTGCCTCCAGGCTCCTCACTGACCTCTGCCCTCGTATGTAGCCCCCATCCCACCTGGGCTGGAAGCCCCTGAGCCGCCGGCTGACTCTAGTCCTCTTCCTAACCCAGGGTCTGGCACAGAGCAAGTATTTAGTCAGCATTCACAGAGCTGACATAACTCAGCAGCAGCAGCACTGGCTCACACGGCGGTGACGAGTGATAGAACCATCCTCAGGTTGGGTGCTGGGTGGATGGTCAGTGATCAGCAGCAGCAGAAATCCACAGGCCAGGGAGAACCCCCTTCTGTGGGGGTGAGAGAAACAGTCCAGCCAGGCTCTCTGAGCCCCCAGACATCCCCGCCCCTGCTGTTCCCCCTCCCGTCATCTTCACGCCCTTCACCCCATCCCTTGTCCTGTCTTTCCACATTAACTCGTCATTAGTCCAAGTTTATATTATTATTATTTGTTGTGCTTACTCAATTGACTTTTTTGATCACAATTCCTAAATTAAGAAGCAGATAAATGGGGCACAGTTTGTTTCTTTAAAGAGCTCACTAAAATAAGTCATTTAGTCAGCAGCTCTCAATAGGAAAAAAGGTTACATGATCCCTCATCCTCAGGATGCCAAACAGCTCATTTAACTTGAGTCTCCCCAGTGATCCAACAGCTCGACTGCCCGTTTCAGCAGAATCTAGTCCAATCTGCTGGGGAAATGGTAAAATTCTCTCCACCAGAAAATTTCCCACCGAGGAAACTAGGGCAGACAGGCCCGAGGAGCAAGCCGATGGCCCAGGCCTCCCTGGCATCTGCACCTTCCTTCTGTCTCACACTTAATACCAGGAGGCGGGACTGTGAGAGGGCAGGGGCCAAACGGGGGAGGGCTCCCGGGCAGAGGGGTGTTAGCAGGAAACCACGGCTCCCTGGGCTGGCAGACGGGTGGGGGGCGGGGTGCCCCTGAGGACCAGAGTCTAAGCCTGTTAGGAAGCAGAGCTACGGGAGACACACGGGGCTGACAGAGCAGCCTCCTGGGCAAAGGGAGACAGGCCTCCAGTCTCGCCAGTGCCTGCCCTGGGGCTGAACCTGCCCAGATCCCAGCTGGTAAAGGGGCCGGGAGATGGAGTTCTCAGCCTGCAGAGCCAAGCAGAGGGCAGGCGTGGAGTGGGTCTGAAAGCAGCAGGAGACTGGCACAGTGAGTGTGTGTGTGTGAATACAGGTCTGGCCAGAGACAGGCACTTTAGCTCACACTTATCAGTTCTAATGAGATGAATTAAACTGGAGCCCATTATACAGAGTGAAGTAAGCCAGAAAGATAAAGACCATTACAGTATACTAACACATATATATTGAATTTAGAAAGATGGTAACGATAACCCTATATGCAAAACAGAAAAAGAGACACAGGTGTATAGAACAGACTTTTGGACTCTGTGGGAGAAGGCGAGGGTGGGATGTTTCAAGAGAACAGCATCGAAACATGTATATTATCTAGGGTGAAACAGATCACCAGGCCAGGTTGGATGCATGAGACAAGTGCTCGGACCTGGTGCACTGGGAAGACCCAGAGGGATCAGACGGAGAGGGAGGTGGGAGGGGGGATCGGGATGGGGAACACATGTAAATCCATGGCTGATTTATGTCAATGTATGACAAAACCCACTATAATATTGTAAAGTAATTAGCCTCCAACTAATAAATTAAAAAAAAAAAAAAAAGATCACAAACAGTAAAAAAAAAAAAAAAAAAGAAGCCCCTCGGGGTGGTGCCCTGAGTACACAGCAGCCCCTCGCATGCTGCCAGGGTCCCGCCCCCGTGGACAGGTGGACAGCCCGGCACAAGCAGAACAGAAGCCGGGTCTGGGATCCTTAGGACAGGGATTCCAGGGTCCTCAGGGGCCAGCAACAGTGCACACGTATCCACAAACACGTGTAAGTAAACACCTGCACACACTCCTCCTGACACACATGCACTGCACACTCTGCAACACACACACACAGTGTGGCTGAAACTCCTAAGATGGGCTTTGAAACTTTTTCTTAATGTGATCTAAAACTCACGGCTGTGGTGCGGGGATAAGCAGACTGATAACATCTGTGGAAGTGGTTGATAAATTCAGAGCGTGTCTCACACAAGTGCAGAGACAGTGCCTGGGGTGTAAGCAAATCTCTCTGGTCTAAGCTCCCTGGGTGGGAGTAGGGGCGGCCTGGGTGTAAGGGGAGGGGGTCTCTGAGGGTCACAGGGTGTAGAGGTGCCCTGACCCACGAGAAGGCAGGACAGCACCAGTCGCCCTGCGTAGCCCCAGGTCAGAGGTGTGCAGACAGCACCACCAGCTAACTTCAGAACACTCTTCACCCAAAAGGAAGACTGTGGTCAGCAGTCACCCCTGTCCTCCACCTCAAGCCCCTGGCTGCCCACAATCACCAGCGAGGGCCCCGCGCTGGGAGGAGGGAGCTGGGGTCACAGTGAGGACTTAGGATGCAGCCTCATGGCCCTGGGGCAGATGAAGGGGTCTGGGGTGCCATTACCCCTGGACCCAGACGGGCAGGTCGCAGGAGACAGAGATGCTCTTGGGCCCAATTCCACTGACACCAGGGAGCCTCTGGCGGCACCTGGCGGAGGAGGCTCCTGAAACCCTGCAGGGGAGAACCCAAGCCCCCCAACCCCCACTGCCATCACCGAGAAGGATGAGCTTCCTGAGTCACTTCCATGCAGGAGGTGGCGTGACTACACTGGCCACCAAATCAAGATTAATGAAGCTCCCGCCAGGACTAATTACTGCGCTCCCAGACCAAAGCACTTCCAACATCCAAACGGCCACGTCTGGCTTGAACAACGCGGGGGCGGGGGTCACGCCAGGTGCCGCTCTGTCTGAGGCAGTGCTGAGGAAGCAGGTGAAGGGGGGCATGCTGGCGCCCCGAGTCTCAGATCTGTATTAACTTTCATCCCAGTTGTCCAGCACCCGTGTCTCTGGTCAACACAGGCCCTCAACAGGTCACATAACCACAGTGCAACGTGGGGTGTGGAGGCTGGCTCAGTCACGCTCTTCCCCACCCTGCCTGAGCCCACGCGCACCACCCAAGGCTGCCACGCAGGCAGAGCAGCCCGGGTGAGTCCAGTCAGGGCCAGTGACCAGTCACGTCCACGGCCACGGACTGGTCTGGAGGAGCAGTAAGAGTGGCCCATCCCGGGGCCTCACCCTCAATTCCCCTGTGCCCCATCCCCATGCCGTGTGTATGAGCCCTCGATCACAGAGGGCAGGCATCAGGCCGAGGCAGCCACACGTGCACAAGCGAGACAGAGAGACCCTTCTCAGAAAAGGGAAACCAGGCAGCTCAGACCAGCCCCCTAGAAGACGGTGGGGAAAGCACCATGCCACCCAACAGTCACCTTAAAGAGTCTGAAACCCGGGAAGGAGACACCGGGCCGCGGTCTGGCGATAGGAGTCCAGGGTAGGCTCGTTTGTCCTGAGGGCATCCACACTGTGGGAGGAAGAGCTGAGCAGCCCCCTGCGGTGGGGCCCACCTGGGAGAGACTTTGATAAAAACTACCTGTCGTTCTAAACCCTGGTCCCATCACGGACGTGCGTTTCAGCATGGGCTGGATGGACTTCTGGCCTTACCTTTCAGCTCTGGTGACGGAAACCCAAGCCTTGAACTTCAATGAAATCACTTGCTCAAGGAATGCCCCCAGCGCCTGCCGGAATAAATGCAAATCGTCTCCAGGGGGAGAGAGCCCAGGGCATGTCACACTTGATGCTTGGCGCTAAACTAAAGCTTGGGCCAGAAGGAAACAGGATGCTGTGAGTGTGTGGGACCAGGGAGGGCAGGCGACAGGAGACCCACGGGGCGCAGGATGAGAATCTGCAGGGCTGGCATGAACATGAAGCCTGTCGCTGATAAATACGATAAAACCAGGGGACAGGCCCCACTGTGGGTGATGCAGCCAAGGAGGAAATGAAGGAACCGGAAGACAGAGCAGGAGAGGGGGCCCAGCCCAACACTCACACATGCAGAAGAAAGGGCAAAAAACGAGAAGAAGACAAGGCCTGAGCTGGAGTCACAGCAAGGAAAAACAGACAGAAAGACGGAAAAGGATATTTAGGGCTGAGAAAAGACATCAACCCACAGATTCAAGAATCCAGCAAATCCCAAGCAGAAATAGTAAATGTGCATCTAGATGTAGCAGAGAGAAACTGCAGAAAACGAGAAGAATGGAGACCAGGCAACCAGGCGCAGAGTCGGAGGGCAGCAGCCTCCCGATGTCCAGGTGCGGCTGGCCCGGGCCCACGGGCAGGGTGGATGGAGTCGAGAAGGAGAACCTGCAGCCGGAAACAAAGGGCGCCACACGTGAGGGTCCTCCTGGGGCAGGTGAGGGTCCTCCTGGGGCAGGCAGTGGGTCTGGGTCCCTGAGCACTTTAACAAACCTCCAGAAAGGGCAAGGTGCCACTCTGTCCAGGAGAGAAGTTGATGGCAATAGGACATCCCTGGCGGTCCAGGGGCAAGGCTCGGCACTCCCGTGCAGGGGGCCCGGGCTGGATCCCTGCTCATGGAACTAGAGCCCACTGTCATAACTATGAGTTCACGTGCCATAGCTAATGATCCCGCGTGCCAAAGATTTAAATCAAAAGGCCCACGTGCTGCAACAAGACCCAGCGGAGCCAAACAAGTAAACACATACTAAATAAGAAGCAGAAACCTGACCAAAAAGAGAGGTTGGCGTCAGCGTCAGGGCTGTAACATGTAAGTTAAAAAGGCGGGTGGCAGGGACCATCCTGGTGGTTCAGCAGTTCAGACTCGGAGCTCGTCCTTGTGACCCCACCTCCCGTCCTAACCTCCAACGGACAGGGTCTCGGAAAACAGACACCTTCTCTCTCCAGGAGGGTGAAGGCTTGCTGCCTGGGTCTCCAACAGCCCGAGAGAAAGGGGCAGCAGTCTGGGGCAGGGGCTCCCCACGCCCAGGTCCCCAGGGAGCCAAGGGCAAGCTGTTCCAAAACCCACTTTGAACACTCTGCTGGGGGGCAGACAGAACCCCCCATCACCTCGAGGGCCACCGCCCCTCTCTGCCAGCCCGAGCTCTCTGCCCCCACATCCTGCCACTCTCTACACCCCAGCATGCGGGGGAGCCCCATGTGGCCAGGGGCCAGCTCCTCACCTGCACACGGCCCCTCACACCCCTGCCCTTCTGCTCCCCACAGGCCCCCGGTCCCCCGAGTCTTCACCCGAGACTCTCTGGTCCCTCTGTCCATCCGGAACACGCCCTCCTGACGACCCCCTCTGGAGAACCCTCGAGTCTATCCCAGCACACCCTCCATGAGCTGGTGGAGCGCGAGGCCCGGCTGTAAGAGTCTGCACCCGGCCCCCCACAACACGGCAGCCGGAGAGTGAGTGAGGCTTGCAAGGCCCCGCAGCTTCGTCCCGCAGGCGGCCCGACCCCAACAGCCCCCATGGTGGTGCTGCGCCCTCCCGCCTCCCGCCCGAGAGAGGAGCCCAGAGCCTGTCCCCAGGGGGCCGTCAGCCAGGCTGGGGGCCGAGGGACTGCTGGGCAGAGAAGGGTCTGCGGGGGCTGCCCCACTGGACGCTGGGGCGAGCTCAGGATGTGACGCTCCGGCCCGGCTGCTCAGACAGGAAGGGCTGTTTTTAAAGGACAGATCTTTTCCATGCGATTAGCCTTTCCCTTTGGGGTCCTTTTTTCCCATCCCCCACCCCGTGCCCGCCTATATGGCGAGTCCTTTGCAGTGAACCTGGAACTGAAGCTGAAACTGGAAGAAGGCTGAGGGAATGTTAATCGAGGGCAGCGCCCCTCCTCTGCGGCAGAGGCTGGCAGACAGAGGACCATCGTGGGATGAGCTCCTGACTGTGGCCCCCAGGCCCAGGGCCTGGACTCGGGCTGGACACCAAGGTGCATCCCCACCCCCACCACTACCTGCAACGTGAATTCAGGCACGCGGCGGTGAGCCTCAGTCTCGCCATCTGTAAAGTGGGCTCCTGCACGGCTTGCACCTTCCTCCTCCAGGCCTGGCACCAGCGAGGATGGCCCTGTTATTCTAACACCCACAGAGGCCACTCACACAGGACACTCTCAGAGGACACTCACAGAGGACTCTCCTCACAGAGGACACTCTCACAGAGGACACTCTGACAGAGGACTCTCCTCACACAGGACACTCTCAGAGAGGACACTAACAGAGGACTCACTCACAGAGGACTCTCCTCAGAGAGGACTCTCTCACAAAGGACTCTCCTCACAGAGGACACTCTCACAAAGGACTCTCCACACAGAGGAGACTCTCACAGAGGACACTCTCACAGAGGACTCTCCTCACAGAGGACTCTCCTCACAGAGAACACTCACAGAGGACACTCTCACAGAGGACTTTCCTCACAAGGGACTCTCTCACAGAGGACTCTCCTCACAGAGGACACTCTCACAGAGGACTCTCCTCACAGAGGACTCTCCTCACAGTGGACACTCTCACAGAGGACTCTCCTCACAGAGGACACTCACAGAGGACACTCTCACAGAGGACTTTCCTCACAAGGGACTCTCTCACAGAGGACTCTCCTCACAGAGGACTCTCCTCACAGTGGACACTCTCAGAGGACTCTCACAGAGGACACTCTCACAGAGGACTTTCCTCACAGAGGACACTCACAGAGGACTTTCCTCACAGAGGACACTCACAGAGGACTCTCTCACAGAGGACTTTCCTCACAAGGGACTCTCTCACAGAGGACTCTCCTCACAGAGGACACTCTCACAGAGGACTCTCCTCACAGAGGACTCTCCTCACAGTGGACACTCTCACAGAGGACTCTCTTCACAGAGGACACTCTCACAGAGGACTCTCCTCACAGTGGACACTCTCAGAGGACTCTCACAGAGGACACTCTCACAGAGGACTCTCCTGACAGAGGACTCACTCACAGAGGACTCTCCTCAGAGAGGACTCTCTCACAAAGGACTCTCCTCACAGAGGACACTCTCACAAAGGACTCTCCACACAGAGGAGACTCTCACAGAGGACACTCTCACAGAGGACTCTCCTCACAGAGAACACTCACAGAGGACACTCTCACAGAGGACTTTCCTCACAAGGGACTCTCTCACAGAGGACTCTCCTCACAGAGGACACTCTCACAGAGGACTCTCCTCACAGAGGACTCTCCTCACAGTGGACACTCTCACAGAGGACTCTCCTCACAGAGGACACTCACAGAGGACACTCTCACAGAGGACTTTCCTCACAAGGGACTCTCTCACAGAGGACTCTCCTCACAGAGGACTCTCCTCACAGTGGACACTCTCAGAGGACTCTCACAGAGGACACTCTCACAGAGGACTTTCCTCACAGAGGACACTCACAGAGGACTCTCTCACAGAGGACTTTCCTCACAAGGGACTCTCTCACAGAGGACTCTCCTCACAGAGGACACTCTCACAGAGGACTCTCCTCACAGAGGACTCTCCTCACAGTGGACACTCTCACAGAGGACTCTCTTCACAGAGGACACTCTCACAGAGGACTCTCCTCACAGTGGACACTCTCAGAGGACTCTCACAGAGGACACTCTCACAGAGGACTCTCCTGACAGAGGACTCTCCTCACAGAGGACTCTCCTCACAGAGGACTCTCTCACAGAGGACTCTCCTCACAGTGGACACTCTCACAGAGGACTCTCACAGAGGACACTCTCACAGAGGACACTCTCACAGAGGACACTCTCACAGAGGACTCTCCTCACAGTGGACACTCTCAGAGGACTCTCACAGAGGACACTCTCACAGAGGACTCTCCTCACAGAGGACTCTCCTCACAGAGGACACTCACAGAGGACACTCACAGAGGACTCTCTTCACAGTGGACACTCTCACAGAGGACACTCACAGAGGACACTCTCACAGAGGACTCTCTCACAGAGGACTCTCCTCACAGAGGACACTCTCACAGAGGACTCTCCTCACAGTGGACACTCTCACAGAGGACTCTCCTCACAGAGGACCCTCTCACAGAGGACTCTCCTCACAGAGGACTCTCCTCACAGAGGACTCTCCTCACAGAGGACACTCTCACAGAGGACTCTCCTCACAGAGGACACTCTCACAGAGGACTCTCCTCACAGAGGACTCTCCTCACAGAGGACACTCACAGAGGACACTCTCACAGAGGACTCTCCTCACAGAGGACTCTCTCACAAAGGACTCTCCTCACAGAGGACACTCTCACAAAGGACTCTCCACACAGACGAGACTCTCACAGAGAACACTCTCACAGAGGACTCTCTTCACAGAGGACACTCTCACAGAGGACTCTCCTCACAGTGGACACTCTCAGAGGACTCTCACAGAGGACACTCTCACAGAGGACTCTCCTCACAGAGGACTCTCCTCACAGAGGACTCTCCTCACAGAGGACACTCTCACAGAGGACTCTCCTCACAAGGGACTCTCTCACAGAGGACTCTCCTCACAGAGGACACTCTCACAGAGGACTCTCCTCACAGAGGACTCTCCTCACAGTGGACACTCTCACAGAGGACTCTCACAGAGGACTCTCCTCACAGAGGACACTCACAGAGGACACTCTCACAGAGGACTCTCTTCACAGAGGACTCTCTCACAGAGGACTCTCCTCACAGAGGACTCTCTCACAGAGGACTCTCCTCACAGAGGACTCTCCTCACAGAGGACACTCTCACAGAGGACTCTCCTCACAGAGGACTCTCTCACAGAGGACTCTCCTCACAGAGGACTCTCCTCATAGAGGACACTCTCACAGAGGACTCTCCTCACAGAGGACACTCTCACAGAGGACTCTCCTCACAGAGGACTCTCTCACAGAGGACTCTCCTCACAGAGGACTCTCTCACAGAGGACTCTCCTCACAGAGGACTCTCTCACAGAGGACTCTCCTCACAGAGGACACTCTCACAGAGGACTCTCCTCACAGAGGACACTCTCACAGAGGACTCTCCTCACAGAGGACTCTCTCACAGAGGACTCTCCTCACAGAGGACTCTCCTCACAGAGGACACTCTCACAGAGGACTCTCCTCACAGAGGACACTCTCACAGAGGACTCTCCTCACAGAGGACTCTCTCACAGAGGACTCTCCTCACAGAGGACTCTCCTCACAGAGGACACTCTCACAGAGGACTCTCCTGAGAGAGGACACTCTCACAGAGGACTCTCCTCACAGAGGACACTCTCACAGAGGACTCTCCTCACAGAGGACACTCTCACAGAAGACTCTCTCACAGAGGATTCTCCTCACAGTGGACACTCTCACAGAGGACACTCTCACAGAGGACTTTCCTCACAAGGGACTCTCTCACAGAGGACTCTCCTCACAGAGGACTCTCCTCACAGA